CTGTCTCCCTGTCCCACAGCTTAGTGCCACCAAACAAAACAGTCTGTTCAGCTCATGTCTTGCACTGAGGGTCTCTAGGGGCTGCAAGGAAGATGAACAGCTGCAACAGGATCAGTTTGGCCAGTGGACCACAGGATGAGCACTGCTGCCTTAGAAATCACTGTAAAGCCATCTTTTTAGAATGGCAGATTGAATATTTACAAGTAAAGAGAGTAGAGGTTTCAAAGATGGAAATATTCTATGTTATGAAAAGTAGTATTGGCAGCAAATCATAATGTCAGATCCAGTTTATTAGATTGTTAGAAACAGTTACAATGGGAAGTTTAGTGGGCTGAGAGTTGTCTTGAACAGACATGGTATTACGTATGGAAGTCTAGTGGGGTTTTATGTGCATAATCTTTTATCAGTGAAGAATGTCTTGAAATTCTAGGTCCATTATGTTCTTAGAAAACTATTGGGTGTCCTTTACTATTAATCTGTGCACTTCCTTCGTTGTAACTGAGAAGAGATTGTATTTATTCAATGAAGAGTTTATACGTAAAACCAAAGACAAACCTCTGTAGTACATGCTCTTGCCACCCACAGTGTTTTTCCTGTCACTTGATTGAGCAAATACACGTATTTTAAAGTGAGACTTGCATATATTCTCAAGTGGAGGTGCTCTGGAATCTAATTGATTTTCAGGAAACATCTCTCTTGATCGCTGTAGTCAGTCCTCTGTTCTGTAATAACTTTTATCCTTTTATTTAACTACTGTATTTACAACTTAGTCTGTTTTTCCACTTTTATGTATATGACTACACAGTGCTCAAAACAAACATGACCAAAGCATTCTATGATTCTGTGATTCTATGACTAGCTAATCATCGTTTGCTTCTCTCTTGCTCTCCTTCCATAATTTTGGCACCAAGGCTGCGTTTGCACTTACTGTTCTGCAGTTTGTCTAGTTGGTGCATTTCTGTTACCCTCTACCCTCCTGTTGCCTCCCTATTCTGTTTTGTTGCCATTTAGGTGTAGGCATAGCTTATTCAAAACAAACTTGATCAGTTTTGGATTTGGAATGACTTGGGCTTTTTTTTTTTTCCTATGTAGCAATAGGGATTTTTTCAAAATGGGAGAGAAGCACAGTCCTAGATGGATGTAGTCTTTTATGATATAGAAAGAAAATAGTATGAGTTGTTAATAAGTAAGCTCTTCCAGAGGTTACCTGTTTAATTTACCGTGTGAAAAAGCTTGCTGCACCATAGATTTCATAGAAGTGTGTAATACTCAATTCTTGCATTCATATGAGTAGTTGCTGGAACCAAAAAAAAAAAAACCCAACCCTTTGTGTTTCTTTCCAAGATTAATTGATAATTTGTTGATCTTGCAACTTGCTGTGTGACAAAGGTTATGTGACTCTTCTTTTTCTATTTTTCTGTTTCTAAAGTAATTTAATGTACAAAACTCTTCTAAATTTCAAAATCTTGCCTGTTTGGTTTCTAAATGAAAACAATGCACTGCACTAAAAAGCTGTAAATAATCAATATAATTACCCAAGGTAAGTAACTTTTGTGACACACTTACTATTAATACAGCCTGGCTTTATGAATTGACAATCCTTCTTAATGTCTTTACAGGGTGCTGATAAGACTGTGAAAGGCCCAGATGGACTAACTGCCTTTGAAGCCACTGACAACCAGGCAATCAAAACTCTTCTTCAGTGACGGATGGACTGATATCTTAAATGTCTCTCCTGTGGCCTCACACTGCTGCCTGTCTGTCACTCTTTGCATCTTCCAGCTTCTTCAGCTAAATACTTCGGGGGGAGGGAAATTCTTTATGAATCAGACTAGTTAGGGGATTGTATCGAAGATAATCTGTTTGGAGAGGGTTGAAAACTATTATGAACAGTGTCCCTCTAGGACTTCTTTTCAGTGCACAATCTCTTCCCATTTCTAGTGAAAATGGAAGAAGGAAGACAGACCATGATCTTGAATTTTTTGCTTGTAAACCTCCTAGGTTCGTATTAAGATTTTTGTTGAAAGATTCCTTTAGATGGAAGTACTGTGCTACGTACCTGAAACTAATTGTGAAGGAGACAATAGTCCCATGCTATTAGTGTCTGCCATAATCTGAAGTGTAGTAATATAGGTGGCTGGATTGCTTTTCTTTCTTCTCTCTCAGTGGATAGCTTTCTTCTTCTTCTTCTGCCTAAAGCTTACGTTGCAGTTTTGAGGACTTTTGATACCAGTTATTGGAGCTGTTCTTTATATTGACTAATTGGATGTCACACTAATGTTTTTCTGACTCTTGAGTAAACCGGGAAAGATCAGTTGAGGCATGGTGGTGTTACACTCCAGAATATCTGCCAAGGTACTTTTGGATGCTTGAATTTGAGGTTTTTGTTTCCCATGTTTGTTCTAGTCCAGGATAGATGATTTATAGCAACCGGTTTTGACAGAGTTCAGAATGTCACTGTAGTTATTTCCAAAAGGATTGTAAGATGAAATTTCTTTACTCAACATGTTAGCGTAAAATTTATAGACACATGCAAAAGCTACAGGCTGTTTGGTATGCAAGGATAATCAAGTCAAATGTGGAAAATGAACAGTAATTATTTAGACATTCCTATCAGGTGAATATTGTCGCTAAACTGTTCTGGTAAACTTTTAAAATACATGTAAGCTTTCTAAGTTCAGGTGTTAGGAACAGGAAGATGTACAAGTAGAAGTCTTAACTTGCTCTTAACTACTGGAGGAAAAAAAAAACCTTTTAATTGTGCATATCTCTGAACCAGTGTTCCGTTGTTGGTTACATGAACCTCTTAAATTTCATTAAGGCATGGGTCTTGTTCTGAAAGTTCCCAGTGCAACCATACCCCGTTAACCATCGACTTCTAGATAAGATTTACTGTACCAGTATAACAGTACTATGACAGCCTTGATAATTCATGGGAAGGTGTTCAATGATGTTGTAGGGATTCCCATCACATCTTATGGTCCTCAGGAATGTCTGAGCTTCTGGTTTTCATCTTGAAAATTTTCATTAGACTGCTGATTCCACCCAAAACTGAACAACAGGTTTTGTAACAGAAAAGTGTGTACCACAAACTATAGATCTTCCTCTTTTTTGGAATACAGATTTCAAACTTTCTAACATACACAATACAGGAAACAAATGTATATAATGTCTCATGCTGAAGTCTTAAACAAAAGTAGCCAATATTATTTTGATATCACTGTTGAAATTGAGAGGCTATGTAAAAGTAGGCTGATGACTACCACTCATATTTAACGGAGACTTAGTTTTACTTGAATCATGTTCCATATTATGATTGAATGTCTCAGCTATAAAAAGCCTTGCATTTGGACTGTAAAAGGAGAGCGGCAGGTGATTTACATGTACACATCCCATAAGAAAAGTAATGGAGAAAACAATCAACTCTGGCCATGAACTGTACAGTGCAATTACTCTTTGCTTCTTGGAGATGGGTGGCAAGGAAGAGCAGAAGGGTTGGAAATCAATGATAAATCAATTGATGAGCTGCTGATAAAAGAAAAGCATGTTTGGTGAATAGTGCTTTGAATGACTATTTAAAGAGAACTCTTTAATCTTATCTCTGATCAGTGCTGGATTGTCATGTCATTGTAATAGTGTGAACACAGACTATAGGTTTAACTCTTTATTCAGCTATGAAAGTAACCATCTTTGGCACAAATTTGCCTCCATATCATGCTATTAAATACTTAGCTATTAAAATACTAGTCTAGAAAACTGCAATCTGTTTTTATGTGGAAAACTTGATTATTCAAGGTTTTTGTGTTATTAATGTCAAGTTGTCTGGCCATAGTGTGGTGGTTTTTTTTTTTCCTTCTCTCTATTCTTTCCTGCCCTTCCCTTCAACTCATTTAAGAGTAACTCAACTCTCATTATCACAGTAAAGAAACATCATCTTTGTACTAACTCTTCTGGTGATTCACTGAGGCAATTTTGCCTCCCTTTTTCTACAATTATGTGGACACCTTATTTTTTCTTACTTCACTTGAGGAAAAAAAAAATGCAAACGAACTTCAATGAGACAAGTGTTAATTTGGCTGTAACATATACCCAAGCTGCCTTTCGAGATAGTTAAAAGATGGCATTTAATGTTTGGCTCATAAAGAAGAAATACTTTTTTGCTTTTTGCACTACATAAGAGGTGATTGATTATTTTGCCCAGGATTTAAAAAAAAAAGTAATAATAAAAGCGTATGCTTTTGTCATTGTCTAGAAACTGGGCTTGTTCACATGTTCCCTTGTTGTTAGCTGTATTGTGGAAAAAACAATGGATGGCTGCCTGTATCTTTGAGTAGGCCCTAACTAGATGAAAATACCAAATTGTAAATTATCTTCCATTCTATAAAAAAAATTTAAATGCTTTGTCAGACTGGAATCGCATATACTTGGAAATCCACTCTGTTCTTAAACCTTTTCTTTTGTAATTTGTACTGAATAAGTTATAACCTTAAGTATGTTTTGGATTGCTCCTTTTTCTTAAGGGGAAGCAAAGGGGAAAAGGAGTATGATAGTTAAATGGAACTTTATCCTTGAACATAACATTGAATTATTTGTAGAACAGGCTGGTAAGAATGGAGTGTCCTAGGTTAAGCAATTGCAGTGTTGCATGCAAAATTTCAAAATGAACTTGTCTTAATTATATTTTGTAAGTGGATAAACAATCATCTTTCTACACAGTGATGGAAGAAAAATAGTGCTCTGTGCATTTTGATATTTGACTTCCTTTTTTCACCATTGTTAACTGTTTTGACACAGTTGGCTTCATCATTATCATGGTTCATAGACATCAGAATGCTAAATGATACTGTATTTTTAAGTTTTTGTTGCAAGAATGAATGGAATAAACTTGAATTGTGTGATATGAGAATGTGGAGTTTTATTTCTCTTTCTGCTCTTGTGTTTTATTAATCTCTGGCTATAATTTTTTATTTGCCTGGAAGACATCTAAGCTCCAGGTCACATTTACAGTGACTAAAATATTCAGATACTTGTAAGACCTAAATGTGGAGTGGAAGTTGCTTTGAGAACTAAATATATAAAGTTGGGTTTGTTTTTTTTTTTTAAATTACAACCATTTTAAACAGGTTTTGATTAATTCTCTGGTCTTGCAGTCTGCATTTCCTGCTTAAATGGTAATGCATAGTGTTAAAGATCTCTTATTCATGTTAAATTCTGAGACGGTTTGTAGATAGAAGGATGTTCCTCCCATTACCTGTGAAGATTAAAGTAATTTATTCCCTACTTTACTTCATCAAAGAAACTAAAAAGGTTATTTACGGAAAGCATAGCTGAAGTATAAATAAAATGTTCATAATTTTTGTCACATCTTTATGGTGACTTTGTCAGAACTTCCTATTATAACTTTGCTTGTCTGTAGAGATTTAGATCCAATTGCTTGAATTGTGTGATATGATTTATTTTAAAATATACACTTTCAAAGAAAAAGTACAGGAAGCTGTTGTGTCAAAGTGGAAAAACTATTAATATGGGAAAAAAAAATCAAAAGAAACTTAATTTGTGTGTTTTTCTGTGCAAAACCTTGAAAACGAGGACTTCTAATGCTGTATGCACAACCTTTCAGTCAAATACTGAAAAAAGAGGGACATGTTCATGATTTAATACCAAAACAGTTCAAACAGTGTGATGGCTAGTGGCAATTGCTGTGTGTGCTTCAGTTCCTGTGTTCATCTTACTGGTTTTTTTGTTTGTTTTTTAATGGACAGCTTTTCTGTAGAAGTAAATACTAGCTACGGTTCAGAATGCAGATTTCTTTCACTTGTATTCCTCAGTGCCTGGCTAACCAAATTCATCTCTACATGTAAACACTTTCCCAAATATTTGTTTATGGCTGATCTTTTGGAAAAAATTGATTTCTCAGCTCCCTTCCAAAAGGAAGCTGGCCCAAGAAAGCAATTTTTTCAGTTGGATCACTTGATTGTTTCTCTGTTTTGAGAAAAGTATATTCTCAAAGCTCTCCTCAAAATAATTTTGCTCTACTTACAATCTGACATTTTGGAACAGCTTTCAACTAAGTTATGCCATAAACTTACTAGATGCATTGTTTGGAAAGCACTTTGTTTGGTGTAGTGCCTTGAAAGGCTTCAAGAGCATATGATATTTACCTGCTCAGGAAGTGAGTGAGCATTTTTTCTAGGAGCAGCATTCCTCTCTCCCTGCCCTAGTAGTCAAAACAATGTTTCTAATAATTTTAAACTAAGAAAAGTTGCATTTAGATACCATTGCTTGCTATTGTGATCTAATGTTAATTTGGAGAGCCTTCCTTCAAACAGGAGAAGTCCTGGAATCTCTTGATTCTTCACTCTTCAAATTGCATTTGGAAAGCACCTGTGTGCACATCTCCATTCCCCTGTGTCCTATATGTCTGTTTTCAGGAATACTGCAGGCTGCTACAGAATACAGGATTCTTTTGTACTTTTCAGTGAGTTCCTGTTTTCCACAAATATAACTTCATTTTGCAACATTTCAAAATTATGGATAGAGGCCTTCCTTTTCATGCACTGAGGTTCATCTCATGGCCATTAAAGTTGAGAGGCAGGACAGTTTGCCAAAACCACAGTAGACTGTGTGTCTCAATTCATCTGTAAAACTTACAGTTCATTAAAGGAAAATTTCTTTCAGTTGTCTCAAGCTGAGCATAAATTTGAAGGATCCAAAACTCGGTCTCAAATATAATTTCTCAACCTACAGTAAACTTGTTTGGTGCATATATAAAATTATTTACCTTTGAAACATTCCTTCATATGTGTTTCTTACCATTTTCCTCTAACTGAAAGTAATTCCTTAGTACATTCAGAAGAAACTTCAGTTTGTTCACCAAAGCTTTTGTTTCAAAGTAAAATAAACCATTTTCTAGTTTCGATCATTGTTTAACTATTTCGCCTCAAAAGTATTTGGAGGTCGGAAGTGTTGAAAATGTGGAGCTTTTCATGGAAATTAAGTTATACTTCCTCTTTCTTTCTGGAATACACTTTTAATTAAGAAATCATAGAATCATAGAATCGTTTAGGTTGGAAAAGCCCTTTAAGATCATTCAGTCCAGCCATTAACCTAACATTACAAGGTAGCCTTTTATTTAAAGAGTGGCAGTGTATTGTGACAAAAATCCAACCACCCGTTTCTTTTTTATTTATTTTCAATGGAAAGCCAACAGATATGTTCCAGGTTGACACAAAATGTCTTCCCCCCCACCCTGCTTCCAACTTGTCAGTGCAGTCACCAAACCGGATCAGTATTTGCATGTCCCTGTGTCATGATTCAACTTGGTTTCTGTTTAGAGTGGTGACATCCTTGGGAGAGCTGCATGATGCCCTAGACTTTCGTGGTGTCTACTAATCCACTACAGCGCAGGGCAAATGTAGAAGTTTAATTAAGACTAAGATAAAGACAGATATCTGAATGGGATTGTTGTTACCTAATTCAGTTTCTGCAATGCAGAAGACCTC